GAAAAAAATTTCCCTTTGACCCAACATTTCCAAAGTGTTTTTTTTTTTTACTTACACTCCCAGAGTATTTTTTTTTTAACAGAGAGTTCTCTTTCAGTCAGCTGCTGTTTACTGAGAAGCACAATGCTAATGATGTAAGCTGGGTGTGCAACCAGTCTTGGTCACTGAATTAACTAGGCAATTCCCAGTCCTACTAAAACCTCATAGCTGTATGAGTCAAACTAGGACTGCAGGATTTGCAAGAATTGCTTGTAGTAAAGTGGGAAATTACTGTAGTTAAAGGAGTTAACCTGTCTGCAAACACAGATAGTAAATGTTCATACAGGATGAGTTAAAGGAAGGAAAGTCTGTTTTAATATTTTCAAAAACCCTCTCAGCAGTTTTATAGCTACATGAAAAAGACAAAAAACATTGGTCAAGGAGCCTTGTGCCTGCAGACCAAGCCCAAACTTGCCTTATGTAGGTAAGGTAGTTTGGATGTAGATTTGCACACAAGTCCAAGGCACCAGTGGATGCCCATAACCTGCAGTATGGCCTTTTGTAATCATTTATCCCCTAGTGCTTATGACAGCTCCTGAACAGACATGTCAACAGAGAGTCCTAATTAGAAGAGCCTGCCTCTGTGTGCAGGAAGACACTGGGCTAACTTTCTGCATGGGATTGATGTTATCAGGGTGTTTCACCTCCGCCCTGGAGAGAAAAAATTAATTTAGCCTGTGAACTCTGAGGAGAGAACAATATTCTGTTGACCCACCATTTCCCACGTGTTCAACTGGGCAGTTGAACTAGAGGTTCATGGACCAGTGAAACCACACTGTAGTGTCCAGGCAGGATAAGTGTAACGACTGAAGATAAATGCTGTGTTGACCCTTATGCATTAGGGCATCATGTTTAAAAGGTGAGCAGAAGTCTTTCATACAGACTTCAAATCAATTACTATAACATGGGGGTTTTTGGGTTCCGTTTTTTTGTTGTTTGTTTTTTTTAAATTTAAACTTTTCTGTAAAGTAGCCAATTATAGCTGGAAAAATAAGATTGAAGACAGCTGTTACAAGAGTTCCAATTAGATTGTCCAGACTTTCAAGGAGTCTGAGGCAATTGCATGATTTGGGCACATTCCTCCTTGAAAGCCACAAACAATTCTCTCATCCTGCTCTCACAATGTGGGGAGGTAACACTGTGGGCCATCGTCCTTGATCATTTGAAATGTATTCTGCTATTTTCACATCTGTTTTGAAATTAATGGTCCAGTACCTGAACACACTGTTACGTATATGTTCAGAATAAAACAAACCTTTATTTATATAACCGTAATGTACGTACCATACTAGCGTGGGTCCCAAAGTGAGTTTTATCTGAGTTTTTGACTACTTAAGCTCTTCCACAGTATCGAGAGAATATCAGAAGCAAAGACCAGCTGTTGAATGTAGTAAGGTTTTTTCCAAGTGTCATGATTATGAATTCTCCTCTCTGCACAGCTATTCATTCTGCTAATTTTCAACAGGCATAATCACAAGGGAAAAAGAAGAGGATCACCTACGGCATTAACAAATCTGATTTTTAATATAAGCACAGCTCCCATTTTATTCAGTGGGGGTTTTAGGAATGTAAAGCATGCAGAATAGAGCTGCTTAGGCCCTGATCCTACAAGTAGCTCAGACATGGGTGGGTTTGTTTTAAATTCAAGTTAGAGGCATAATTATTTAAAGGCATTTACCCTTGTCATCACCTAGAAACTCCTTTTGAGCTATCAAAGTAGCAGCAAGGCTTTTAAAACAAACAAACAACCAACCAAACCAAACAACAAGAACAAAAAAACCGAACCCCCCCCCTTGCTTGTTAAAATAGACAAATATTTATAGCAACTTAAAAAACAGTCTACCCAGTATCCAGGGAGTTGGATGGAGTTTGAACTTTAAAAGAAAAAGAGACCCCCAGCAATTCTAGCTAGCTTTAGCTCAACCCTTATCTGGATAAAATTTTATGCGGTGTTTTAAATAGAGGTGCGGTGGTTACATGCTAGCTAACATTAACAAGGTTGAATTCAGCTGAGAGCAAATCCTCTTGTTTGCTTGTAACGTTCAAGGCACATGTCTCAAACTTGAGCACAAGTCCATGAAGACGTGAATCCAAAACAGATTGCCAGCAGACCTGAAACTGTATAAATCACACTTTTAAGATTGCAACACTATTTTGTTTTCAAATTCCTTGAATGCTGAGTCTCGCTGACAGCTGAATCTAACTGACAGCTGAGCCATCAACACAAGGAAAGGGTTACCTTTATTGTGCTGTAGTTTGGACTGGATGTGTTCACACTTTATTTACTTCCAGGTCAGCAGCAAAATGGAGTAATAAATCCCCCACAGCTTGTACCACTTCCCCATATCCCAGGAAATCAACGGGCCAGTCAGAAAAACCTGTATACAAATATGATGCGACCAACTTTACCACGGCAACTCTCAGGAGGATCAGGCAAGATTTCACAGCAACCAGAAAGCTTGGATTTCCTGAAAGTACCTGACCAAGGAGCAGCTGGGTAAGATTTTACATTAAATCTAAGGGGAAAAGAGCGTCAATTTTTGTAAATAGCTTCACACACACAAACTGTTCATGACTGATACACTTACATTGTGTACATAGATGACCAGATTGTGCTATTGAGCTGTACTCAAAAGTATCACCATCTTCCATAGGATTTCAAAACACATATTCCATCATAGGCCTTTAGGAATGGAGGTTGAACCAGTTCTAGTTTAATATCTTAAATTTGCATGGTACCTTCTACTTAAGGATATTAAGACACTTGGCAGAGTTTAACTAGGCCGCCTTTCCCTTCTGGTTTACAGATCATAAACAGTATATGTCTGCCCAGAAATGCTGGCTAGTAGTCCTTTTGTTTCAGCCCTGACTCCCGACTCATATACCAGACTTGTACTTCTTCTTAGGAGGAAGGCTTGGTAGCTTGACATTCAAGATTATTTCAGCATCATTTGGACTTCTAAGCTGCAGCCTTCCAGAATATGTTACTATGACAATCCTACAAGATTTGGGGATGGGCAGGTCTTATTGTTGTAACTAGGTATTTCCCAATAGCCAAGAGTCAGATGCATCAAAACAGTCACCAGAAGTAGCAGAAAGATGGAACCAAGAAATCAGGGCTTAGTAGAGGGAAGCAGAACAAGTTGTTCTCAACTCTGAAACCAGCTGCTCCAGATCTTGACTGAAAATCCAGAAGCAGGCAAAACCTCTGATTTGTGGAAATGAAGACAGAAGTCTTCTGTCAAATATTTACGGGACCTCAGTGCTCCAGAATGTTAAAGGCCTTACAAAATGTTAAGTTTTTCAGTGACTGAACAGTTACTACTTTAACTCAGCCCTTAAATTCCACCCTCTTGTAGAACATTAGTAGAGCTTTCCTGTAGTGGGAATTGGAGTGCCACTTCATTGTCAAAGACTGCTGCCTATTCAGCAATTCTAGCAAAAAAAGGAAATAATCTGGTTTTGAATAAGCAGTTTGTGTTTCTCCTTGCTGATGACTTCCTATTTGTATGATTTAATTCTGATGTAACCAAGTCTCAGAGAAATTACTATTAGTAACAGCTAGTTGTCCGAGAGCATATTAAATCAACAAGGAAAGTTACATTAGCAGATAGAATAAAAATCCACTGTGGTAAGGTGTAATAACTTTGCATAGTGATGGTTAGTGCAGACACAATTCTATAGTCCATAGCTCTTCAAGTAAACACACATGATAAATACCTCCTTGCTAAGTAGGAAAGCCCTGTGTATGTTGAACAAGCCATCATTCTTACATCTTCGTCCAAATAATATTAGGGGGAAAAACAAGAGGAAATTCAGACTTTTCCTGCCGAGAACTCTCTATTGGCAGGTTCTTAGTAAATTACAGTTCAATGTCCTCCTCAGCTTCTCTTCCTCCACATGGCCTCTCTCTTTCCTTCCCTTCCAACAGATTATTACCTCCCTCTGTAGTGAGGTAGCTTCGATCGCCCAGCCTCCGACAGACAGCTGGCTGGTAGCAGTTAGCTTTATGTTGCACCAGTGCCCTGACTGACTCATTGCAGAGTCTGAGCCTTTGCTTACCACCACAGCTAGAGCACCTGAAGGTAATGTAAAAGTTGGAAGTAAAACCAGAGACACTGCCATAGTAAAATTTTTGCCTAAGGAAGTGCGCCAGTATTTCAAAATCTCCCACGATCCCATGCTAATATTGCATTCTTTCACCCTTATCGTACATTGTCAACTGAAGTAATGCAGCAGTGACACGCCACATTCAAGGATTTTAGTTGTTGCTCACTAGCACTTAAGCAGTCGTGATTTTTTTTACTCTGAGCTGTGAGTTGTGAGTCAAGCTCCCAGGCCTGACAGCAAATAATTTTGCCAAATATGGAAGAGCTTGCAGTTGAGATGAAGTCAAACTTTCACCAAGTTTCCACCTGACCCTCTGCAGCTCCTTAACGTATTTGTCCTCAGCCCTGGACTATTCTGAGGGATTAGATGGAACAGCTCAGTCCCCTTCTCCAGTGATCCACATGAATGCAGGTTTTTAGCAAGAGCAACTTTTTGTACCAACAGACCCTTCTCAGCTGTATGCAGCAGTGACATGCCACATTCAAGGATTTTAGTTGTTGCTCACTAACACTTAAGCAGTCGTGATTTTTTTTACTCTGAGCTGTGAGTTGTGAGTCAAGCTCCCAGGCCTGACAGCAAGCTCTTTTGCCAAATATGGAAGAGCTTGCAGTTGCGGTAATCTGGGAGAAATTGAGATGAAGTCAAACTTTCACCAAGTTTCCACCTGACCCTCTGCAGCTCCTTAACGTATTTGTCCTCAGCCCTGGACTATTCTGAGGGATTAGATGGAACAGCTCAGTCCCCTTCTCCAGTGATCCACATGAATGCAGGTTTTTAGCAAGAGCAACTTTTTGTACCAACAGACCCTTCTCAGCTGTCAGTCAGTAGGCAAGCTCCTTAGCAGATGTTCTGCACTAAATTCTCCCGTGTGCCTAAGCATTCTTTTTTGTGTGTGATGCAACTGGCGTATGCATACTGACTTAGCTAGCATACTACTTGAAATGTTGCTTCTAGTGAGCATTAGACACCTCATAGAAAACAAATGGTAAGTTTAAGTGTACTCAGACTTCATAGATTTTCAGTATCAAAAGAAGAGCACAGGCTTCCTAAGTAGGAGCTTTCCAGTTACTAGACACAGAGTAGGGGTGGTCAGCCCTCCAGCAAAAACAGGCATGTACAAGAGTGTCTTTTCAGTTGTACTAATGGCAGTTAGTTTTCCCCACTGTGCACCAAGTGTTAGTCATAAGATACTGTAAGCATATTTAGAGCATTTTTCTGCTTAAGATTGGTCTTCAAATAAGAAAGAAATCAGAAACAAGTGGCCACTAGTGCTTATTTTAACCATTTCAAAACTGTCAGCACATGCTAATGCTTTCAGACACATTTCCATCTTTGTAAACTAATAACTTCCATGCCTTTAAGTGGTGAAATTCTCTCATCCTGTCTCAACTTATTCTGTTAAAGCTGTTTTGCTAATATTAGACTTTACTTTGTCTTCAGACTACGGTTCATGTAACAACAATAAAAACCAAACAGCCATAGGATAAAGCCATTGTGATTTCTGTCAGACAACTGGCTGACACATGCCTTACTGTAAAATGTAGCAGCCACCAAGTACATAATGAGATAGGAACTATCATGTTGGATTAAAAAGATCAGTTGCATCATACTGCAGTTCCTAATGCTATGGGTACACACCAACAACCCCATCTGTTTCAGTCTTAGGAGTTCACAGGGATGATTAGCACATAGTAAAGCTTCTATTACTTAGTTACTATTTTAAATGGCAATTATGATTGATGTAGTCCAAGGGAAGAAAAAAACCAACAAAACACACTGCATTAGAATGACATCTTCACTATCTGCCCCGGTTTTCACTGATAACCGTGTACGCTCACGAGTGGTAGAAAAAACCCCCACGAACAGCCACAGCAGTAATTGCAACGAGAACAAGCAGGGAACAGACATCCATCGCTCCCCTCTGGACGGAGTTAGTGGAAGTCAAGCTTCTCTATAGGAAGCCACAAGTAAGACAAAAGAGCGCTTAGTAACATAGCTTATGAGTCTGAGGAAAGAGGTAGGGAGGGAGGAGGATGTTGGGGAGTGAGGGTTGGTTGTTTTGTTCTTTTAGTTTTGTTGTGGTTTGTGGGTTTTGGTTTGTTTTTTTTGTTTGTTTGGGGTTTTTTTCCTAAAACAAGTCACAGCTGTAGGCAAGATGGATGCTACTGTGTAAGGTAAGGGAACATCTAAAAAAGGTCTGGCAAAGTAATTTCTTAGACCTTAACATCCCAATGTGAGTTGCTGCCTGTCTAGCACACCCTGCAAGTTCACTGAATTGCATTTCCTGACGTGTAAAATAGTATTTTGGTCAGAAATGGTGGAAAGTGCCCACTCTGAGAGGAGCAGAGTGCAGCCCAACAAGGGTATCTTCAGGGGGGCATTTAAACAAGTAGGTAATAATTTGATTTTACATCTGTGTGACTTCAGAAAGTGGTGGGCTACTCTAGGAACTGGAGAATTTTGACACAGCATATTCAGTGCTTCGCTGATGGTAATACTACCATATTCTGAGCACGAAGTCAAAAGACCAATGGGTAATCGCCGTAAGATTAATACAACACAGTTACTGTCCCTACCAGTACTAACCGTTACCGAGGCATATTCCAGTAGATGTTTCCAAGCAGAAGGGAGTATTGCAACACCACCGACAGCGTCACTGGGTAAGCAGAACTGCTGTGCACAAAGACAGATCGGGGACAGTTCCCTCGGGGTAAACGCGGGGGGGAGCCCCCCCTCACGGGCAAACCAAGCGCCGCGGTTCTGGAAGGGCGGCTGGGCTGCGGCGGCCGACCGCGCGCCCCCTGCCGGCAGCCGCGAGCCTGCCACGCGCCCGGAGAGGGCGCTGCTGACCCGGCAGCTCGCTGAGCCGCTCGTTTCCCTGCGCCAGCACGTGGCCTTGCAAGGAAACCTGCACGCGAGTGAGTCAGCTGAGCATCACAAGGCCCCACCGTGGGTCTGGTCAACACTGATGCCTCCCCAGCAAAGCAAGGCGTGTTCCTTTTCATCACCCGCCGCCTCACTACCTGCAAACTGTTGTTGCCCTTGGCCAGCACAAGTATTAGGCATGCGACTGGTCCGAACGCTAATCTAGCCAAGTCAGCAGATCATTTCTCAAACAGACCAATTCCCAAAGCTAGGCCAAACAGAGTCAGGCTCACAAAGGCGTGGAGGAGGCAGGTATGCCCGGCCCCTGAGGGGTCTACTGTGGTTGCAGAAAAGCTGAGCTACTTTTCTAAGACTTGCTCCAAATTCTTTTATTTCCATACCTAGGTCTAGGTTTCACAATGTATCCTTTCACAAGCAAAGTCAATACGTGCTGAACAACAGGAGAAAACCCTCTCTCCCAGTAGATAAATTTAGAACCAAAATGCTGTTAACCCATACGTCAAAGTTCCTTTTCTGGTGCCGTTCACTGCACAAACCTAGAACTAGACAGAGACGTATTGACACAAAGTCAGTCTAGGACTTTGTGTAAGTAACTATAAACCTTTTCTGCAAGAGCTGTGTAATGGTAGCATGGCATTACGTGACACGGTCACGGTTCAGTCTCCTCCACGTCACTGCAACATTTTCATTCAGCACATCTATTTATTATTTATTTTAAACTGACCTATTGCATCTAATACCTGTTCTCTCTTCCAGCCTTTATTAGCTGATGAGCTGGCAAAATGCATTTCCTCCCTCTTTCCCCTTCCTAATCTTTGGAGTGGTCACAGCTGTGACAAAGAGTTTGTGCAGCATCTCCCCTGCTGCTTCAGAGTTGACTATAACAGACCAAGTCCATAGACTGCCCTGGAATCTGAGGCAACTTAAAAGAGATGCAGTCTCTCTTACAGCTTAGTCACAAGAATGGTAAAGTAGCAAGCCTGTGAGCTAGAACTTTGGTTTTTTTTAATACTGGAAACCAAATCCCTGGTGAAGTTGGGGCACGGGGAGAGGCAGACTAAGCTGTGTAGATGCCAGGATATGCATGAACTGCATGTGCACATTTGTTTACATTCCAGCGTGAGCACTAAAATGTCTTCCGTGCATTTGAACTGCTGTTTGGAAGTACCTCTTCATCCATTTCAGTAGGAAAGAAATGGCAACTCTGTCCCTTTCACAGGGAAGTCTAACACTGCTATTTTTAATTGTTGTGACATTCAAGAGAATCCTTTTTCCCTTGTTCTGTGATATTCTTTGGAATTAATTCATTAGGACAGAGGGGTTGATAAAACTTGGGTTCAAGTCACAAGCTTTGAAGGATGTTAACATTTTTTCTCCCATTAGTGTTCGCAGGCAGACGACAAACCGACCGCCACCAGCTGGAGGGAGGCCTAAACCACAGCCGAAACCTAAGCCTCAGGTACCACAGTGCAGGGCACTGTATGCATATGATGCTCAGGACACAGATGAACTTAGCTTTAATGCCAACGACGTGATTGATATAATTAAAGAAGGTACGTACCGATCAAAGGTTTTGTTACTTAAGGACTAATCTTGAAGGACACTGTCATAAGTAGCTAAGACATGACTCTCTGAGCCACCCCACACTTCACTTACTTTCCCTTATTAGGCTTGCACATTCCTATGATAGCTCAGGGAGCAGAGAAGTCTCCACACCCACAGCCATCAAACCTGTGCACTTAAAAGCATGTCAGGGGCAGATCAATGACATACGCATTACTTGGTACTGCAGATCTGTAAAATCTAGTTAGAGAGTAATTCTGTCACAGGCTTGGGCTGAAAATTAGCCTAAACCACAGCTATAGCACAAGAACCAAAAAGTAATAAAACAGTTCCAACGCTTCAGGTCTCCAAAGCAACCTCATAAGACTAGCAAGCTCGCATTCTCCACATCACTTCTCCCCAGTCCTTCACAAGGCAGCTCTCGCTGCGCGGGACAGCTTTGCAAGCCTGCCTCAGAAAGTAGACAGAAAGGTTTATTTTGCTTTCTTTGTCATAGATCCTTCTGGCTGGTGGACGGGAAGACTACGAGGGAAACAAGGTCTGTTTCCCAACAATTACGTCACCAAGATATAAAAGACTGTCAGACAAAAATTGGCATGAAGTTACCAGTGGTTGAAGATGTTTTCCCTCGCCTTCAGGACACTGTTCTTCTGAGATCTGCCATTCTCAGCAGTATTTTTACCAGTCAAGTTGTATATGAGCAGGAAGAAAATTGCCCACAGCACAGACTTTGATCTTTTCTCTCCGAAGCATACAGCAGTGGACATACCGACCAATTATTTATTATATTTAAAAGCTGTTTTTAACACCTAGGAAGTGAAGAATGCTCAAACCTACCATCTTCCTGAAACAGAAAGGTGCTTTGCAGTCTGGGGCCAGGGACTTTAGAAGTGGTGTATTTAATAAGTGCCTTCAGGTGAATATCAGTAACCTTCTTAATTATCTACTGAAGATAATGCTAAATGCACATTTCTTCTAATGCAGATCATTCTGGGGAACGTGTTAAGTATGCTGCTACATGTCAAAAAGATTTAGGCTCATTTGGGATATTGCCATCTAAAAACCTACGGTGATGGTGTATTTAATTCTGTACAGAGTTGCAATGGAATTGGTTTGTTTGCTGATGTGTTTAGGGACTCCAACAGGCACTGTAAGAAGTTAAAACGGAAAACCACATAGTACTGTATGCTAAGCAATGTTGCCTTCTTCAGGATTTATATTATAATATGGCTGGCCCATGTTAGATTTACGTTTAATGCTCTGTTATAAGAAATGTCTTTTGCAGAGCTGTACAGTTATAGAAACAGATCATATACTGTATATAAAAACTGAATATGATAGAAAAATGTATGAATGTATGATGTAGTATTCCACTGTTCTTATTCATGAAGTAGTTCTACTAGAATTTTTATGCCAGGTACTTAGAGATATGCACTACTACTTTTAGACGGCAAAAGCATTGCTGCTTACGTCTGCCTCCCACACCAGAGTGGCTGTTGCTTGCCATACAGTTATCAGCATTCATGCTTTGCCTTCTGAACCTCCATAAAATAAAACACAAGAAGCAGTTAGCTGAACAGGTCTGTTCTCTGTGCAGTTTGCTTTCAGTTATGTATACAAATGGATCCCTTCACAACGTCTCTTGCATTTTACTTCCACTGATTTCTAAAGAAAAAAAATCCCCTTCCTTTGCTCCAAACCAAACCATTTTCTCTATGCCCAGCTGAAGTGCGGTGCATTACATTTTTTCTTGTTAAGAGCAGGTAAAAAAAACCCTGCGTATGTTGATATTAAGAATTTGCATAAGCTTTAAAATACAGCTAAAAGTCTTGAATTCCCTCCCTCCTAAACCATTGCCTAAGCTTAATTTAGGTACACTTAAACTCCATATCCATTAAGAGATAACTGACTGTAGAAGCTGTGTCTGGAAGCAGCTTACCTGGAGTACTGCATCCAGCTCTGGAGCCCTCAGTACAAGAAGGACATGGACCTGTTGGAGCGGGTCCAGAGGAGGGCCACAAAAATGATCAGAGGGCTGGAACACCTCTGCTATGAGGAAAGGCTGAAAGAGCTGGGGTTGTTCAGCCTGGAGAAGAGAAGGCTGCAGGAAGACCTTATTGCAGCCTTTCAGTACTTAAAGGGGGCCTACAAGAAAGATGGGGATAGTCTTTTTAGCAAGGCTTGCTGTAACAGGACAAAGGGTAATAGTTTTAAACTAAAGGAGGACAGATTTAGACTGAACAGAAGGAAGAAAATTTTCATGATGAGGGTGGTGAAACACTGAAGCAGGTTGACCAGAGAGGTGGTAGATGCCCCATCCCTGGAAACATTCAAGGCCAGGCTGGGTGGGGCTCTGAGCAACCTGATCTGGTTGTGGATGTCCCTGCCCCCCTGCAGAGGGGGATGGACTAGATGGCCTTTAAAGGTCCCCTGCATCCCAAAGCATTCTATGATTCTATGAAGCTAGAAACCAGCTAGGGCCTCAGGCCAGGGGAGGAATCATACACACACATGGGACCAAGCATGTTTTTCGGAAGACCATTTGCAGTAAGTGCTAGGCTTTGCTTTGCTTACCTATCCTACAGGAGAGAAAAGTCTCCTGCTTGAGAAGATAAAAATCAGTAGCTTCAACATCCTTCCCCCAGGGGGAGCATTGAGGTCTAGGCCATTTTTGTAGTATTGGGTATTTTTGTAGTATTGCAGCATTCTGCATCAGGGCCAGCACACTCATGAAGACAAGACACTGGGAGAAGGGAGGTAATGAGTTCAGTATAACTTCGAGAATACCTAAGGGTCTGTAACAACATTACTTACATAGTACTAAGTTAACAAATAGCCTTAAATGAGGTATTGAGGCAGAAAAGTTGCACTAGTTACTTACATGCTTGTATTCCTTGAGCATATAGATACCAATGTTTATTAGAAACAAAGACAAAAGGAAAGCAAAATGTTAAAGTGATAAGGAAGAATCTACTTATGGTGGGTTTGACTGTATTCTCCCAGGTATGGAGGTTTAGTGGAGGGCAAAAAGAACCAAAAGAGGTGGGGGGTGGGTGAGTGAACAGGCAAGGAAAAGATAGGGTTTCTTTTTTTCCCCAAGAAGTGGAGCAGGTTTTAAGAGCTGAGTTGATTAAAAAAAGGTCTCATCCCTACAATTCCACATCTACAGATCCTGCACACAGTGGTTAGCATTAGAGACTTAGAATTTTCCTGCCTTAGCTCCGTTTGTTTAGGTACACGAAGATAGAGAACCCGTTGACCTATGTTCACCTAAACACAAAGATTTACAAGGCTAATATCTGTTACAGCCACCCTGCTTCTTTCCCCAAACGTGAAGGCAACAAACTACAAAAAAGAAATTCCTGTATAGTTCTCTGGGACAAGGCACTGAAATAATGTACATATTCAGTATCCTTTAAGGTACACCAAGAAAAGATGAACTGTCTGCCTGCTCTTTCTTACCTTAAGAGTGAAAACAAGTTACTAAATATAATCACTATAAAGCCTGGAGATTCTCACTGGAAACAAGCACCGAGAAGAATCATCCACATCTAACTGCAAGTTGTATCAATCACCTATTTAGTCAAATGTCCTGCTGGACACCAGATTGCAGACATATCTAGGTAGTGCCTTAAAGATTCACAGTTACAGTACTTTTTTTTTTTTTTTTTTTTTTTTGTAAAAAAAGAGAGGAGCTTTATTTCTAGGTAGTTGTATTACAAAGCAAGTTTAAAATTTCACCTTCCGAGTGAGTCTGAACTGTCTATGGTAAGGCTGGCATGCTATGTACAAAGAGCAGTAGTTTTTGCCTCAATAGGCAAACGAGGACAAAGTGCATGTACCATCAAGACTTGGCTGCCCAGCATTATCCTAAGAGTGATGAAGCCAGGTCCTTGATTATCTTGCCATTCAGCTGAGGGATTGTGCTGACCATCAGTAGTCGGTTACTTGCATACTTGCTCTTTATAGCCTGCAGAGGTAGGGGAACAGCGTTACAAAAGATTTACACATACAGTATTTAAGTTCGGGCAGATAATTTTGGATAATTAGCCTGACTGCTTGGACAACAAGCAAACAAACAAACAAGGTTAGAAGTGAAACAGCTTGCAAAGTAGCAAGAGCACAGTTTGTCTAAAACATTTTGAAGTTAGTACTAACACAACATCCTCTCTCAGGCTTGTCAGAATAGCACGTGCTTTAAGACAACGTACAAAACATTTACCTAAGGAGTTACAATATGAGGCAAAGGTATTTCTAAAACATTAAAAAGAAGATTTAAGTAGTTATACTTACAGTATATTTTGTTAACTTCTCATTTACTTTGACCACGTTCTTGGCCATATGTTTCATAGCCACCACAAGATTGTCTTCTGTATACCCAGTGTAGTACTGCTGCTTTGTACCCTGCAGCGTAACAGTGAGACATTTGAGATCTCTGAAGTTGCTCAAGGCACAGTCACTTCAGGCAGCAAATGCCCTAAGCTTCATGCGCTAGCCTTCAGTGCTAGGAACTGTATGTAGTACTGTCAGTCTAGGCGACAGATCCAGAATAACTTCTGGTGTGCAGCAGAAGTCCAGACACATCAATGCCAAGAACCACTTTTCTACACTGCGCAGAAAGGTAAAAGAAGCGACCCTTGCAAGAGTAGTCACTAGTTGAATTACAGTTCACTATTCGTGGTCTACGATTTCATTATTCTACATGTACTGCGAGAATTATGAAAAATCTACCTTTATTTACAGTGTGGCCTTCTGTAACTCAATACTGTCAAGAGAAAAATCCTTTCATACCACAGTGTTCACATAGAAAAAGATAGTAAGTTTTTAGTGGTATATTCATTTTTCTACCCACAACTATGCATCAGGCTGTCCAACTGCCATTTGATCACCAGCATTATTACCAACCTAAACACAGTTTTCTAAAGTAGTTGTTTTAATGGTTCAATTCAATCGACTGAAGGTAAAAACTCCTAATGACGAGTTTGATTAAAATACTTACCCATTTGTTAGTTCCCAGAACCTTTTGGGACAAGCATAATGCAGCAGCTGCAATCTCTGAAGGACGATGGTGAACCATGTCGTAGTCTATCAGCGTCAGCTCCATTAGGTATTTTGCTAGCGTGTGTTCCTTACCGTCAGCCTACCAGATTGAGAGCTTGTTAATCCACAAAGTTTCACTTCACCTTATCATAATTCAGGATTATTTATTGTATTCATTAACTGACAAAACAAAAATAGTCAACAAAATCTTTATTAAGGTCTAGGGACCATACTCTCTAGCAGGCACGCATCTCAAAATTGAGAGCAGAGTCCAAACCAGTCTAGCCTAGCAGCCATTTGGAATTTAGACACAAAGTCAAGTGAGGGATTTTAACAGAAAACTGCAGTATCAGGCACTGCTGTGCCCAACTAGGGATACAAGTGCTCCCTCTGGAATACACTAAGGGGGGAGGGGGAAGGTGTAAAATGACTTAAGGAGATCCTTATTAAAGCAGTCAGCTAACTTCACAAGTTACCTAGTGGTCTGTTGAGGTAATTGAAGCTCACTTCAAGTGTGGGCAGTTCACTCGAGTGTAACTACTGAGGTGGGAAAAAAGGGTCAGGTCAAAGAGAAAGCTTACCTTTTGGTTCTTAATACAACATTTGCATCCAAAAATTATGAAGCACTGCAACACTGCTCCCCTTTTACTAGGGAATACCCTGACCCCAGACAAAAGATACTCTAAAAGCAAGGGTTCTGTTCTAGGTATGTTTAGTTTACTCTAACAGTAAAATTACTGCCACTAAGACTGAACACAGGCCCCAGTAAATACAAACATGAACAGCTACTGGCTGCCACAGTGATGTTGTCATGTTACTCCACACGGTGGAGTTTCACAGCTGAATATTTCTTGATCCAGCACGTAAGCAGAAAGCAACTAAGATCACATGATAAAAACGCCAGAAGCAATCCTGATAAGACTTTACACATACAGGAAACTGCTAGATAACGAGGACAAGTACCCACCTCCCCAGCTTTTGATGCTCTTCTTAAGAAGTGAATTGGAAGAGGTCGTCCCAAATTGAAGTCTAACTCTTTAAGAATCATAATCTCCATTTCTCTAACTTCATTATCAGTGTAGGCATTGTCAGTAATGTAAACAAAGTCTGCTACATCAGGAGAGTGCATCTCTTCATATTTTGAAGCTAGAAACAATGCTGCTACACCCACCAGCTGAAGGCTCCTACGAGGTACTAGCCGACTCTGCAATGTAGGAATTTAAGAAGTAGACCCCAAAATGTCAAACTCTAGATAAACAGATTCTAATTTATCAGTTTAAAATACCAGTATGACAGTGCTCATTCTTATAACATAAATGAGATTTTCCACTTCGAATAAGAAGTGTCCCTAATAATGACAGGCTCAAAGAGGACGGCAGCCTCAGAGTTAAGATGCTACATTTTACAGAGCTCTTAACAAAGAGCAGATTTCATAGGTTCTTAAATTTATAAAGAAAGGATAAATCCTAAACTCCTTTAAAAGCATAGTCATTGAAAAAGTCTCCTAATCCAAACATGAGTTGAAAAATATCTTACTTACTTGTAAGAAGCGATCAATAAGTGCAACACACATATACAGTGTTTCCTGCAAAAGCGCGAATCTTGAGTGGACCTGGACAAGCCAGTCAACTAAAATTGCACGCATACGCCCATTGATCGTCTTCCCGTCCAGGTAATGTGGGCGGACCGATTGCTGCAGCTGTTGGAGAAAGAGCTGTGTGAGCAACAAGATTAACACTATACTGCAGAAGGACAAACTCAGTACATCATACCTCGAGCTCTCTGAGATACAGATAGATATCTTTTACATAGTCACTACACAGCTGGGGATTCCCCCAGTCCTCAGCATCAATGTCTTCTACGTTGTTGAGCAACACATCAGAGAAGGCTTGGCACAAATCCTTTTCTTGCACAGACACATCCATAGGGACAGGAGACAGAACCTAAGGAACAGATCATAGTGCTTACATATCTACTGTTTAAGCTGCAATGTTCCTTCATTTTCACATTTTTCCAGTTACTAATACAATTTCTTAAGATAAAAGAACTTGAAACTGAGCTTACAATTCTAGTATGGCAAGGTTTCACCAAGATGCTGTACAGTCAGTCTCAGAAGACCTTCTAGTAATTGCCAGCTAAAGCAGAAACTTCATCCAGTACTTCAACAGCTAGTTCTGCCACTTTAATGTTAGCCTTTAAGCACAACATGCATTAAACCACAACCTCAGTACAGAGGCTTTGCTTTTTCAGCAGGGAAATGAGATACATCCATAGATAAACTATTCTGAAGTTAGCACTCTGAGTTGCAAATCGAATTAAGAATCAGAACAGTATCATTACTTCCTACCTTTGGAACACCAGTTTCTTTGAGTGATCGATTCACAGCAGCTGGAGGTTTAGGCAGTACAGTTACATTTGTCATCTTACTAGGTCCTTTCGTAGGCTTTATAGGTGCTTTGGAGTATTCTGTTTTCTGTAGCGAAAACAATTACTATTAGTACAGAGCTAGTAATCCATCTTTTCCTTATAGATAGATTTCAAATGTTCCTTTACCTTAGCTATACGTGTTCCTCTTGTTGCAACTTTATTTCCTATTTCTTCCAAAGCACCCCTTTTGACAGTAAGGTGAGTTTTGGCTCTACTTTTTTCAGTCACAGCATTCTCCACCCCTCTAGTGACCTAAAACAATAAAATTGCAGCTTAAGAGTCAGAGACCAACTTTATTTAATTTTCAGATGCCTACCTCCATTATACACTTACCACCACTGTACCGGTGTACGTCTGTGCATGCCATCCATTACTCAAGCAGTTTTTATTTCCTACCCATTCACCCATGCTCAGAGGAAGAAGTCTCCTCTGTATAGGTTTCAGGCAGTACTGCACTCTCTGAAACTGTGGTGCAAGATTAGAGCAATGCACCCTATCTCATTCTGACAACTCTCTAACGTTAGAGTGCTTAGCTATTTATTGTATTTACACGCTTTGTAACTACAGCAGTATTCCCATGAAAATGAACAAGGCAATTTCTCTGTTACATACATACCAGGTAAATAGAAGAGTTACGCATACAAAAATAAACATCCTTTGTTATGCACAGTAAAGGAAGAGAAAAAGGTTCCGGTGAAGTTTAGTTTAAACCATGAGACAGTCACCATAGAAAAGAGGTTCTTGTATTCCATTCCTGCACCTTCCCGTGAAGGCGCTTTAGTTTTCTCCCCTCCTCCCGCACACCCTCCCCGCACTCTGAGGGGGAGGAGCAGGCGGCCAAGGCCCGGTGCAAGCTGAGGGGGGGCACCAGGCGAAGCGCCCGTGCCCTCCAACCCCGGGGGAGGAGGGCAGCGCGCACCCCCTCACCACCGCTCCCTCAAAGTCAGCCCGGCTTCGGTCCCCTCCGCGCCACTGCGGCCGCCGCCCGCACCCGCAAAAGCACAGGGGGTCCCGGCCAGACACAGCGCTGAGAGCCGCCGCCCCGCCCCCCCCGCTGGAAGGCAGAGCCGGCCCCCGGCCGCC